GGATATGAACTCACACTTCCACATGTAAGTTGCCATTGTAAAATCTTTTAAAGATCTCTTTAAAAAGTAATAATGTGGTTAAATTGTGGCAATCACAGATACACACAGACTGGACACATTGGGAGAGAATTCTAACTGTAACTTGTAGTAAAATAGTCAATGACGATATCTCACCATACTCACAAAGGGTGAATTTCAAAAAACTGCAAGTGTGGTTTGGAAAATCATATCAGCTCATCCAAAATGTGGCCCCAGTAATGACAAACATACTAAGTCAAATATGGATATGAAGAGTTTGAAGAAAACTATTGTATGAATAGGAGGAGGAGGAAAAACAGTATTTCCGAATTAGTGTGACTTTGCCCCTGGCCCATGTGGCTCAGTGCTGGGGCATCATTCCCATAACCGAAAGGTTGTGGCTTCGATTCCCCATTCAGGAGCGTACCATCCCCTGGTTGGGGAATATGGCAGGCAACCAATAGGTGCTTCTCTCTCACACTGACGTTTCTCTGTCTCCTTTCCTCTCTCTCTAAAAGCAATGAAAAAATGTCCTCAGGAGAAAATAAAAAGAAAAGAAATAAAAAATAAATTATTTTGATTTTTATAGAGTATGTGATTTTAAATAGATCTATGTACCTAAATTAAAAATATAAATTTTGTAAGTAGACATTTGATGTGTTTGCCTACATACCTAAAAGTACGTGTATTTTCAAGTTGACACAAAAAACACTTTGGGGGACTTTTTAATGGGGAAGAATGAGGAAATTCTTGATATTTGAAATTGCCTTAAACTATATGCTAAATTTAAAAAAATAAAATTGATTCACATAGCTACCCTACTGACTACTTAACCGGGAAGAGCTCTCTTTCCTTCTATCAGACACAGAAAAAAAAAAACAACTGGTAAGTTCGATCATATTTAGTGGTTTGTTCTGCCTCCATTTAATAATCTTTTGGAGGCTATGACTTGAAATGAGTCAACAGCAAGAGTTCCCCCCCTCGGGGGACTGCGGTGGCACAATGCCCGTCACTTCAGGCCAGATCTTCAGCCTGGCTGCCCACCCCACCCCACCCCACCGCCTCCCCCACTCAGCTGACCTAGTTTCCTACCACAGCCAACATGCACCCTCCATTCATTCCTGGTAAGTCTTCCTTCACGCCCCCAACTCCATCCTTTGCAACCCAGCCCCGGTCCCATGAAAAGACGTTTTCCAGAGGCCTCAGCCCCCAACAGACAGGCTGCTGCCCCTGCAATCCTGGAGCAACGCAGTCACAATTTAGCATTGAATTACATGCTTTTATAAGTGATTCTGTGATTGCTTCAAGCACATGGGTATTTTTTCCTCTGAGAGAAAAAATCCTGAGAGCAGGGACTCAGACTAATAATTCTAGATTCCCCTCAGAGTTGACTGTCACTTCACTGAATGTTGTCTAATGACATCATGCCACTTCAAGTGGAGGATGCGTTTACCCCTGTTCAAGGGCAAACCGCAAGAAAAACACAGGAATAATACCTTCAGTAAACAACTGTTTTTAACAAGCTGCTACCTCTGAGACCGCACCAGTGTTGACCTACTGACCTGAATCACAGAGCATTTGCAACAGGGTGACTGCAGACGGCAGAAAAAAAAAGACAACCACTAATAAAACAATTCCATCTTGCCTTTGAAGCTATAAAAGGTGCCCCATGCCTCAAATCTATCAGTAAAACAGTTTGTCAAGGTAGAGTCATTCAAAAAATACCCAGATCCTGACCTCAGACACTCTACAACACCAACGTTCCACTGCCATGGCCCTGAGTGAAGCAGCCATCACTTGTCACCTGCAGTATTGCAACAGCCTCCTAACTAGTTCCCCTGCACCCTCTCCTCCTCACAATCTACTTCTCAGCCGTGACCTAAATGAACCTGATGAAATGCTAGTCAGAGTGTGTCAGAACCCTCCAATGGTGGATCAGTCTGGGAGGTAACAGATGGCACACTCAAAGTGGGTGCTTTGAGGAGATTTGATGAAGGAAGAAGTTACAAAGGCATAGGCAGGTGCAGCGAAACCGCAAAGGACAGTGCGTACTCTGGGGCTGGCAACGCCGGGGCGCTCGATGCCCCCACTAGGCCGGAAGGTATGAAGAGAAGGAGACAGACACAGACAGCCCCACGAAGGAGGCACCTAATAGGAGATGTGACCTTAAGTCTAGAGACACACCAGCCCGCGCAACCCTGTAGGAAGAAAATAAATGTGCAATCTCATTTTTCTCCCTCTCTGTCACCCCTGTCCATTACTCCCCATGGCCAAACACAACCAGCAGCCATAAGGCAAGGGGGTCTGTCCAGCAGGTCCACCTCCTGGGGCACGTCCACAGAGCAAGCAGGGTGGAACAGGACAGAGAGGATCTGGGGAAGGAAACAGAAGCTACCCAGCCCAATGGCTTCCCGTCTCAGTCAGGGTATTTGAAAGTACTTACACAGGGCCCTCCACAATCCAAACTCATCTCCCATCCTTCTGTTTGTTAACCTCTTCACTCACAGTGGCTTTCCACTCAGCAGGCACGCTCTTGCCTCGGGTCCTTTGTACTTGCTGCTTTTGTACCCAGAATGCTTTTCCCCACAGACACACATATGGCATGTTCCCTCACTTACTTCAGGTCTCAGCTAAAATGTCACATCATCAGAGGTTTTCTCTTGTCATCTTATTGAAAAACTACCCCTGCGCCCACCCCACCCATTCCTGCCATACTCTATCTCCCTTGTCCTGCTTTTTTGCTCTCTGCAGCATTTCCCTCCAATTATCATATCTAATAAATGATGGACAGATATATAAATAGATAGCTTACCCTTTTTTAACTAACTGCATCCTGAACAAAAAGTTCCATAAAGCCATCAACTTGGCCTTTTTCTTTTCACTGTGTTACATCTCGTGCCCAAAACAGTACCTGACACAGAAGGCCCCCAATATTTGTTGAATAAATTGAGTTAACAAAACAGAAGGAATCATAACTAAGGGCTCTTTCCATTACTTATAGGTTTAACTTCAAAATCAAATTGTTTTTTAACAGATAAAGTCTGCTGGTAATCAGATAGGACACAGGTGATGAGTATTTGTTTTGTTGGCAACGGCACAAAATTGAGCTCTGACAGTAAATCTCTATGAATAAATTCTTCAGTCAGAACCAAAAGAATGACCGTAGTGCCTTCTGTAAACAACTCCCCTTGCAAGGTTGGTACTTCTTATTAATATATCATTATCAAACTCCCAACCTAATGCTTCTCTAAGCCTCAGTCTTGTCTGTAAAATGTGTATGAATGATATGATGTGTGGAGAGCCTTTAGCACAATGCTGGGACCCAATAAATGGGCACTATGGTGATAATTAAAGCATTGAGGCAACCATGAAAATGAGATACTACATTATCTTCCCACTATCTGGAACTGTTTATCCTAGACTTTTAAAATTCGAGCTGGATTAATAACAAAAGGAAATCTTTTATTTCCTTTCCAACTACCCCACAACTGAGCCTACATTTGAAAGACACCCTGTAATACTAACGCTCCATATCTGAACCTAGCAACCACTCCTGGCCCAGGGCTTGGCCCAGCCTTTTGCAGACCAGAACCTTGTATTCATTTTTGCATCACTCACTTTTGCCTAGGTACTTGGAATATAAGTACTGGTGTTTTCTTGGTAGAACTAAGCAGGGACACTCTACTGAAATAAAAAGTAGTATAGAAAAGAGAGAAAGAGCAGATCAGTAAGATCCTGTAGGTTTTTGATTGATGGGAGATTTCGTGGCTGTCTTTTGTAAAGACTTCTGTAAAAGGACACACTGGTGATCTAACTAACCTGGGGGAGCTAGATTAAAAAGATAAATGTTTCCTTTTCTACCCCAAGGTCCCTGAAGCATAAATCTCCAGTATTAACATTCTCTCTGCTTCTACATGTGTAACTGTGTAGTTAGTCAAGGCTTTGCTTTTGTTTTAACTAACTTATAATTATATCGTTAGTTGTAATATACACTATAACAACTATCACTACTAATTTTGCCTCAGAGGAGGCTTTCAATTTCAGATATGAAAGTCCAAGCAGGTCCCTCCAAGATTAAGCCTGAGATTGATTTTATCAAAAGATCTTATTGTAGTCAGTAACCTGATGTGTACTTGTAAGTATTAAAAAGTATCACCCTGACCACTTCTCCTGCTGACAGATGGGTAAACATTTCCACGATAACTTGGGAACAGTCGGGGAATGAGAAGAAAACCAAAACTATAGTTCACTACTCATTCCTTAAACAGTTTTCAAAGCAATAGCTCCAGTACTACTTCGATGACTCAATGAACCACAAGGAGTCCAAATTTTATACTTTTATTGTAAACACTTTCCAAACTATATTGTTTTCCTGTGTCTTCCCCAAGCAGGCTGTGCCATGCTCATGGTCAGACGCTGTTTTATTTCTCCGCATTTCCAGCGTTGAACATTGTGTCCAACACACTGCTGGTGCTCAAATGATTGAATGACTACTAAAATGACCACACACGAGGCAGGCCTCAAAACTGGCACTGGGGGTCAGAAATTAAACAGATCGTGAAATGGCATGTCCTCACTCTGGCCGCTTGTCTTCCACTCTGTCCCGAAAGTACAGGTAAGGTGGGGAAAGTGTACTACCCTTCCGAGAACCTCCCGCTGTCCCGGCGGAATGGAGTGGGCTGTCTGACCCGCCCGAATTGCTTTGTGACCTCCAAGCACAGAACACGATTTTCTCCGCTCCCTAAGACACCGGGACCCAGGTACTGTCCTTTTCACCAAGCCCCTGACAACGACCCCTCCCCACAAACGCTCCACTCCCTATACCATTCCCGGGCGCCCGGACCATCCCAGGAAGGAAGCTCCGCGCTGCACTGTGGGAGTCGTAGTTCCGCGATAAGTTCCGCACCCGGACGGCCCAGTGGATGGGACTCTCACTCCCAGAAGACCCCGCGCGCAAGCCTCACCTAGTCCTGTCATCTCACCTGTTCTATGGACGTGACTGTTTCCACCGAGTCGTCTTGCAACCGCTCCCTCGCGTGCTCGGGCCTTAGAGAGTATAGTGGCTCTGACCAGACAGGAGAGGAAGATGAAGGGCAGTAGCAGGTGAAGGAACTTGGAGTAGCCATGATCAGTAGAACAGCGGGTGGTGTATAGGGCTCAGCTTCGTCCAACAACAACGCGCATTGAAACTCGAGCGGGTTAAGGAGCTACGGCGAGCGGTTAGAGTCAAAAAGATTGTGAACGCGAATCTCTTCAACCTACCAATCTTCAAGGAGTGAGTTAACGAGATGCTGCCGCCCCCGACTGGTTAGAGTTGCTGCTGCAAGAGGCTCAACTTCCTGGAGGGCAAAGAGGGAAAGATGTGTACAATACTTCTGAATTTCCTTTGAGAGACCGTGGAGGATACCTCGGTTCGTTAAGCAAAAGAATACACACACACTTCAACATTCTGCTCAGTCTCACTTAATTATAAGCTGTAGTTCGGGTGCCCAAGAACCCAGTGATTGTAACTTTGGAAGCAGCTGTAACGTTTCTGACAGCTCTCCTTCCTGATTGCCTCAGTTACGCTATTACTAACAGAATTATTGTATTGTGCACCTTTGGATCCGTGACAGCCTCCCCAGGAGAAGCCAGCAGCTTCTCAACAAAGGAACTGCCATCTCGGTACTCAGTGATGAAGGGAAGGGGCATTGTAAATCTCTCCTACTCCCTTGGGGGTTACAGTGCAGTAGCAGGAACTAAAATTCAATAGAAGCAACGAGTGTAAATGAAAAAACAAAGGCAATATTCATTCATTTATCCATTTTTTATGGAGCACCTACTACATGTCAGGCACTGTTCTAGGTCCTGGGAACACAGAAGTGAAAAGAACAAACAAGGTCCCTGCCCTTGGGAAACTTATAGTGTAGTGGAATAGACAGAATTAAGTGAAGGAACACATAAATATGTGTTAATAAATGGTATTAAGGAAAACAGGGTCTATGAGAAATTAAAGTAGGATGGTACTAACTAGATTGGGTGGTGAGGCCAAACCTCTTCACATAAGTGACATGTAAGCTGGGACCTGAAGGATGACAAGGAGCCATCTGTGTGAACAATATAGGGAAGAGTTCAAGAGGAAGAAACAGCAAGATGGAGACAAATGCCATAACTAGACGTGTGTTTATATTAATTCTGACATTTAATCTGAAGGTATTCAGAATTTTTAAAACCCTATTGAATGGGGTTAATTATATACACCTCCATAAAAATCATTTGAAGTTGTAACATTGGGAAACCCCTGGTACCTTTGCACAAGCACAAGAAAATAATCTTTGAGCCCCCATATCAAAAGGACAACACCAAAAATCTAATACCAAGATGTTAAACTGTTCAGAGTACGGCAGTTGTTGGGGCATGGGAGCGGATAACAGACTTCCCACATAGACTTGGATACAAGCTCAGTTTCTTGATCAGAGCATTTTCATCTGTTCCCACTCATTTCCAAGTCACATATCTAGGGCCCAGGGAATGGTGGTGTGATATTGCACAACCAGCCATTCTCCTGGTCTCAGACTCTGGTGTCAAAAAGAAGCACTCAGAAAGATTCTAAGGATGAGGCCAGGGTGGCCGAAAGGCCTCAAGCCATGTCCATTGTGAGGGAGGAAGAAACTTTCCTCTACTTATGATTTGTTCAGCTGATCTGATAATTAAATTAAGACAGGTTAACAAAAGAAAATGATCAATTTAATTACATATGTACCCATGGGAACCGCGCATACAGAAGAGATTTAGAGACAGTTAAAACGGGGCATGCGTGGCATTCTGAACTAAGTATGAGGCAAGGTGTCTTGGGGTTTCAAAGGGTCATTGCCGGAGAAGAAGAGCAGATGTTCAGTAATTAGTAGTTTTTCCTGCTATACAGATACATTTTGTAGAAAGGTTACTCTCTGATCATCTCTTCTTATGAGCAAGCCTCCGAATTTGAATTTTTCTATGTACTTAAAGGGGTGGGGGACAGAAGTTTCTCTTGAGCTCTCCAGGTCACAGTTACCCTTAGCTCAAAATAATCCACATACCACACAGGCATACCTTGGGGTGACTCCTTCTGAACACCTACACCATTTTAGCGGTACTAATGTCAAGTTAAGCCCTGGACATGGCGGAATGTTATGAAGTCTGAGAATAAGTGAGACTGTGTGGGTTAGGATCACCAATACGGCTGCACTATACTCCCCTCTGTATTGGCAACCTGCTGTCTTTCCCCTAGTTCTGTTTTAGAAAAAAACTCTCTGACAGAAGTCCAGGTCATATGTAAGGATTCAGCCCTCTTCATAAAGAGTTACTTTGCTGGCTAGAAATTTAAATTGAGCTATTTGAAAGAGTAGCTGGAAGCATTTTGTAACAAATTGTTACATCTATATCACAGGTGTTCTTAAAGCAAGTGCAAATTGTATCCAAATAAAAACACATTTCTGAAATGCAATCTCCTCTGCGGGGGGGGGGGGGGGGGGTCTGAAAGATATTAACAGGGGCATGCCTAGAGTCACCTGCAGTATAGAGTCTGTCCATTCAGTAAATATTTATTGAGAACCCATTATGTGCTGGGCACTGAGCTAAGTGCTGAGGAGACAGCGGTGGACAGGCCAGACACAGTTTCGGCTCTTATGGGCCTCATGGTTTACCAGAAAAAAACAACCATTACACAATCATTACAGAACTTTTAATTGAGGGGAAACGGCAAGAGGGAGAAAGAAGCACAGGGCATTGAGATTGCATAATAGAGGGGACTACAGGCAATCTGGAAGATCAGTAAAGGCTCGCATGAGAAAAAGAGTTAAACTAACCCAGAGTGATGGGCCATCCCAGGCAGAAGAAACCCAGCGACAACCAAAAATCAGGTGAAATAAGGAATGAAAAAGGTGAGGAATTTGTGTTCTGTGTAACACCAAGCAGGCTGTTCAATGCTGGATCGACCAATTGTCCTTCTGGGTTTAATAAAACCATTGGTTGAAGAAGCAGAATGAACAGTCTGTATGGCAGAGAGTGGTGAACTTCAGGAGAAATCCTCAGTAACGATAATTCATAGCAACTCCAGCTTGGACTGTAGATGATTTGGGTATATTTTACTAAAATTCCTGATAGTTTCTGAATTACATTGTGAATTATAATTGTTTTTTTTAATGATACAAAATTATATGAATAGTGCTATTTTGTCCTCCCATCAAGAGTAAAAAAAAAAAAAAAAATTAATGGCCCAAATAAACCACTAGAGGTCGCTTCTGACCCTAGTGTAAGCCTATAAAGCCAGCTTCAAAATAGCTCTCACTGCAGAAACTCCAGGGAGACCATAATGTCATCATGAATTGTTTCTTTTAATATCTTGTGGAACTATGCAATGCATATCTTGGAAAGTTTGAAAAATGGAAAGAAATCATCTAATATCCCACTAGATAATTAATGTTCTCCAATACAGTTGCTTTCTCACCAACCCAGACACGATCACTTCCCAGCTCCTACCTGAGGCCAGCCCCTCCCCTCCCCTCCTCTCCTTCCCTCATGTTCCACCCCAAGACTTTAGTCCACCACTTCCCTTGCCTCTTCCAAAATATCACATTGTTCCTATACTTGATCACTCCCATCACTTTCAAATAGGCTTCTCCATTCTTGGTGGGGGGTGGGGGAGGGTGCATTTTTAAGCCTCATGATTCCACTCCTCCTCCAGCTACCTCCCCATTACTCATTTCATTTCCTTTCTACCAGTGTCTCCATTTCCTCTCCTCCAACGGTTTCGGTCTCCTGGACCCGTTCCAGCCTGGCTTCCCCATCAGTTCTTGTGAAGTCCCTGTTGAACTCCATGTGGTGAAATCCAAGGGCCGGTTCTCAGTCCTCATCTCATCTTCCTAGTTGACTCCCTGGCAACATTTCACATGGTTGATCATGCTATTCTTCTTGAAATACCTTCTTGAGTGTCTTATTCTGGCTTTTGCTATTTCTTCATCTCTCCAACACCTTAACTTCAGAGCAGCCCAGGGTCCTCTGTCTACAGTCATTCGCCTACGAGCCCAGGCAGTCTCAGTGTTTTAAATACCACCAGCAGGCTGACAATTCCCTCATTTATTTCTCCACCCTGGATCTTTCCCCTGAACTCCAGAGTTTGTATCTAATATCCTCCTTGCATTCCCACTTGGAGGTCTAAAAGGCATCTCAAACTTAGCATGACCCCAACAGAGATGCTGGTTTCCATTCTCAGTTATGGCAACTTCCTCCTTCCATTTAACTCCAAATATCTTGGAGCCATCCTTAATGTCTCTTTCTCTCATGCCCCATACATCTTGTTGAAAATATGTGCAGAATCTGGCCACTGCTTACCGATCCCACTGCTAGTGTCCTGGTGCAAGTCACCATCATCCGTTACTTGGATTTTATGTTCATCTCTCAACTCTTCTTCCTGTTTTCCACTCTTGTCCCCAGCGAGCCCAATACAAACTCAAAAACCAGCTGTACTTTTTTCAGTGTAAGCCATGCCTTCACTCAGAGGCCTCAGGGAGGGAGCCCATTCTTACGCTCTGCTGCTGACTCTGCCCACGCACACAGGCCTTCTTGCTGTTCTGTGCATGCCCCAGGCTCCCACCAGCCTCAGAGCCTGTGTGCTCATGATTCCCTCCGCTGCAGTGCTCTGCCCCAGGTACGAGGAGGGCTGGCCTTCTCCCTTCTGATCGTCTTTACTCAGAGTCCTTAGTCCAACTCAGAGCCCTTTTCCTTGAAACCTTTCCTGACCTGCCCATGCAAAACTGAAACATGCACCCCCTGATGAGTACTCTGTCCCACTCTCCCGCTTCATTTTCCTCCGCAGCACCGACAGCAGCTGCCAGACCTGGTATTTCGGTCACTTATCGTGTTAACTCTGACTTCCCCCACTGGAATATAAGCTCTCAGGGCAGGGATTTTTATATTATTCATTGCTTATTCTCTGGTACATACATAATGGGCATTACGTTAAATAATTTTCAGTTGCTGTAATAAACACTAGAGTGATGGTTGGTGTAACATCCCTTAGAAGATAACAACAATGAATATATTAGCCTTCCCCATTCAGGAGCTCACTGGTAATAAAAACAGAAACAATATCAATATAAAATAAATACATAAAATAAATAAAAATATAAAATAATACTCATGTATAAATATAAACAAGACAATACTTACACAGATGCAGT